CTGGTGCTTTAGATTGTGAAATCTAAGGGTCAAGATTTCATCAAAATTAGATGCACCAAAATGGTGCGAAAATGCATCACGTTGAAATGCATCATAAACCTTCGAAAATGCACTATCTCAAAATCTGAGCGCATGATGCAATCTGAGCCGCACGATGCATCAGATCCGACGGCTAGATTTTATTCTCATTTCTCTCCACAAGGTGCATTCTCACGGGAACCGGCCATATATATATATATATATATATATATATGTATATATGTATATATATATGTATATATATATATATATATATGTATATATATGTATATATATATATATATGTATATATATATGTATATATATATATATAAGTGAAATTGTATTGTTAAAAGTAATATAAAATCAGAAAATTATATGAGGCTTAAACACTTTTCCAAAAGTGAATTGTAAAATCTTTCTTTACGACATACATGCGAAAAAGAAAATGTGGAAATTTTTGGATGGGATATATGGAGAGGTTTGTACATTTTATAATTTTATTCAATCTCTTATTAATAATATTTTTTTATTAAGAAATGATTGCATAATTGGAAAAAAAATCGTCTGATTCTGTGTATAGCACAGGTTAAAATATTAGTGGAGGGAAAAGATGGGAGTCACATAAACATTTTGATAAAAAATAATATGAATTACTCTATATGTCACATAATTATTTAGTTAATTTTTTTGTTTGGATTGTCCTATAATTTTCTTCCTCTTTCTCCTTTAAAAAAGTTTAATGATCATTATCATTGTGTTTCAATTATTCAAACCACAACTACATAAATTCTATTTTATTAAAAATTATTTCAGGTAAATGGAGAAGAAAGGTACTGGACAAAGGGAGTACAAGATTGTAAATTTTTCTATTCATTATCTGACTAATTATTGTGACTTATTCGTACCTTTATTATTTTTCTTTTTAATGAGTTAAATATTTTTTATACCAGCAGTATTAAAAAAGAAGGAAACGAGTTAACAAAAACCGAGTCGATCGGCGTAGTTTTTTGACCAAAGAAACGGAATCACTCGGACATTAGCCTACTACACGTTTACACCACTGCTTTTAAGTTTTAACATGTGCTATACGGTATCTCTTCTCATTTTGGTACCATTAATAATTCTTTTAGAATATACTCCTTCCTTCCAACTTAAATTTTGTGTTTTTACATAGTTAAATTTTAATCAACTTCTTTAACTCATTTTCACTATTTATTTGATTAAATAATACTCCCTCCGTCCCAAATTATTTGCCACATTTGCTTTTTCAACAGTCGCGGGAACTTTTGTTTATTTCTACGTTTTCATTGGTTATTTGACATAATAAAATATTCTTGACACCTCTTATTTCGAAGATCTTTTCATGTAGTTTTTTGATATGTAATTTTTATTTTTTATTTCTTTATCAATATGTAAATAAAATGAATTGAAAAAACTTGATATTTTGCCTCGGTAATAGAAATGTGACAAATAATTTGGGACGGAGGGAGTATACTCTTTTCCCCTTCTTGTTTTGTAGATTTTTAGATTTAATTTAAAAAATATATAAGTTTTATTTTTTAATTTGACACAAACTTTCAAATAAATTGAGTTTAAAATAATTTCAATCAAACCTCATTAACACAAATGTGGTTTAAATTGAGACGGAGAAAATAATATTTGTTTATACTTTATTCTCAATTTATTAAATCTCATAAAGTTATCGTTCTCACTCGAGTTTGAATTTATCACTATCCATTTGAGGGAAAAAGAGTGATGTCGCTTAACCACAAAGTTTTTGACGATGAATTTTTTTTACTGTTATTGACTCGATTACAATATCATATCTTTTCATACTTTTCTCAACATAATGCGCACAAAGAGTCAATGCTTTCACATTTGCTTTGGCTTGAACCGTGTTGAACTTCTCAATGAATTCCAGAGATTGGACTTCCTACCACTTAAGACATGAGAAAAGTTCATGGACCATTTTCTTTATTCATTTGTCATTACCATTTACCAACACTTTTGTTAATGTTAGAGCTTTAAAATACAATAGACATGTGACGAAATGTACGTAAACTTTATTTATCATAAAAAGTTTTAAATGACCCATCTATCAAAAATGGAGTAATTTTGCCTTTTTTAAAAACTAATTGGCCAAAAAATTGCTCTAATATTTTTCAATTGAGTATCTCGTAAATAAATATTTTCTCAACATGTTGAAGCCCGAAGAATAAACGTCCTTGTTTGAATTCGAACCTCGATCAACTTCCTATCTAAAATCCATTGTCACACCACGAGAAATGCTAAAGTCACAAACACAAAGGTCACAAAAAACACAAACTTACTATATCTGCTGGTTGAGCCAAGAGGTAAGATATAATGTGTTGTTCTTACAAAAATCCTACTTAGAATATATATTGAAGTCATGTATGTCTTCAGTTAGCTCCAAAATCTTCTGTCCTGCAAGCATCACAAATCTGCAAGGAAACTATAGCGAGCCTGTTCTTGTGTGCTCAAAAGAATGTTTTTACAGCTCCAACCCAACAATGGCATCTGTTCAACCACCAGGTTAAAATCTACATCTGCCCATTTCTTGCCATCTTCTGTCAACTCTAACCATTCCTGGACAAATGCTTCTGAACTGTTCAACCCTTTCAAGTTCCAGTGACACAGGAGACCCTCGCGCACATATACTGCATGCAATAGAGCATTGATGGTTTCTGCAGCGCCTCCTCCTTCCCGCAGATTGACAACTATACCATACTGCGGTCAACAAGAACCAAACGATCATCAAATCGTTTAAGAATTTGATGTTTTTGTATCGTCAATTTTCTGCATTCAAAGCAACTTTACCTGTTCTATGCCTTCCGCGTGGTTAGAGATTCTTTCCGGGCATATGAAATGGAAATCGCTGCTTTTTAAATTTTGCATAGTCGTCACTGAAATCCTAGATAATTGGTTCTTGGCATTTACGCAACCAATTGTAATGGGGAAGGGTTTCCTGGCTAATATAAGAAGCAGTTTGTTATTATCAAGCACAAGGTAAAAACCTATGTCAGCAAAAGAGGTCAAACATTCATACCTTTAGCCCAAAGCAAGTCAATGCCCTCAGCTTTGCTCACCTCTGCAGGTGAAGGAACACGTCCATTCTTAACCCACGTTGCTAATATAATCTCAAGTCTTTCCTGAATATGTACATAGAGAAATCTGGTTTATTCTTAACCAAACCAAACAAGCCCAATGTATCCCACTCAAGAGTGAGTAAGTAAAAAAATGCTACTTGTAAGAACTAAAACCCTAATTCAATGTGTTGAGGAACTATATGGTAATGTCATAATATTACAAGATTAGAGTCAAATACCAACCTTAGTCAATGTTTGCAGATGTACATGTTTTAATCCTTGATAAATACCATAAAGGTCAAGTGCTGAGAAGATTGGGTACACAACAAATGGTAGACCTGCTTGGAATCTTTCATTTGCAATATACGGAGGTTATGAATAAGAAGTACACATATAAACCTTTAAAAACTCCAAATTACCCCTTGAAAAAAGGCCAACATCGAATACTACATAGATTACAATCCTACAAGAGCAATATTTGGCTTTAAGGGCAGAGCTTTTTCACATTAACTACAGAGTAATATACACAATTCAATTTAAATAACTTGATGTGTGGAAAAAACCTTGGATTATATCGGCACAAGATATTTAAGACAGCAGCAAGCATAAGACCAAGATTATCAAAGCACATTTGTTGTATCTGAAATAGAATTAAGCACGAGATAAAATTACAACGAATAAGGGCTACTGCAAGATGAAAGTGACAGAAATAACCTGTGCCTTTGCAGAAACTTCACCGAGGTTATCAGCCCTTGCAAAGCTTCTATGGACAGCAGTCTGGAAAAGCCGTGACATTTAAATCATACATTAGTGATGTTCAAGACCTTAAACATATTTAGGAAACTTCTGGCAAAATGATAATGATGATGATGATGATGATGATAATAATCATAAATAAATAAATAAATAAACAAACAAACAAACAAGGGAAATAAGTAAGAAGGGCTGATAGAAAAAATCTTTAGAAGACTGTATGTAGAGAAGGAATAAGCATGTTTGTATAAGAAAGCACCTAAGAAACATATGATACGAATGCATGAAAGCACTTGAATTACTTGAAAAGAGCTTTAATATCAGATATAAAAAGCCTAAAGAATCCTTTGTTTCAGAGGCTTGGTATATACAGAGGAGAAGACGTATATACACAGTTGACAAACAAGAAAATACAAAAGAGAAGCAAATCACCAAGTTCTGATGCTACTTTAGGGTATATTTCAACAAAAACGACGTCTATCACTCTATAACTTTGTGTGTGGGTTCTAACAAAGACTTACACCAGTCGCTAAGTAGCATGCCAGGCTGATTTGCTTCGCGATGTTGGCAATGGAAGCAAGAACCAAAAAGTATTGAGGAAACACAGGTGTTAACAATTCGACCCCGATGCTCAAACTGAACAGAACTGATGTTGAGAATCTAACTCTCTGCAGTCGAGACAAGTAGATGAGAAGAACCAAATCCATCTTTCATCATGACAGAATTAAAAAAAAACTATACCTTGAGATTGGTATCAAAAGCAGATGCAAGACTAGAAGTGTAGATGCACCTACAAAGCCGTCCGAGCCCGTCTTTCAATACCCAATTCAGAGCAGCTGCAGATGGAAGTGAATGAGAGGAACCAATACCAATTGCTCCAAACATTGCCTATATTCAACTTAAAGCATCAACTAAACACCCAAAAGGTCAAAAACTTATAAGCCCCAACACATATTAAAATTTGAATCCAATCAATAATCTGATTGAACTCATGACCTATTACCTCATTATTATTTCTCCAATTTTTCCAATGTGGGGTACTTAAACACAAGAGCATCAGCTAAGCACCCAAGAATTCAAACATTACAGTAAATTTCAGGGCTGAATTAAAAGAAAGAGATACCTGGGTAGCAAGAACTTGCAAAGAAGAACTGAACAATCTATGCACAAACTTCCATTTCACATATTCCAAGTAATTCCCACTCATATCCCTCGGAAGAAAGAAATCCCTAATTGCAGAAACATAAACCCTGAAAAAGCTTTGAACGGCTTCAAAATTGTAGCAGAGTTCTGATAAAGAAGGGGCCTTTCCGTCGAGAGATGCCAAATTGAGCTCATCCCCATCCCAAAAGAACTGGGAGACGCCGCCGCCGGGCCGGAGAATGACTACCGGAAGACGGGAAGGAGGGGACGGTTGTTCCCGATTGCGCTCAGATTCTCCTGTGGCGTACCCAGTGCTTAGATAATCAGTCTTAAGGGAATTTCTTGGAGTGAAGGGTTTAAGGGAGGTTCTGTGATTACGAGTTCGGGTGTGGGGGTCATCTGGAACCCATGAGCATGGATAAGTATGCAGACGCAAGGTGGATTGCATTGCAAGTTGACAGACAAGAGAAGAGTGACTTAAATTGCAAAAGAATGATTTCTGCTCCTTATCTAATTTCTAATTGCTTACAACTTACAAGCGGGTTGAGCGAGAGAGAGCATATTTCATGGAGTCATCTAGATTGTTAAGGATATCCCAAAATTGTACATCCCTTCAAAAAATTCTTTCTCGATATAATTAAGTAAGGAGATTGAAAAAAGTTAAAAAAAGTATAAAGATTTTTCATATACTGCTTTTGATATGATAGAATAAAGTGAATAGTATTAATAAAAAAATAAGAGTATGATGGTATATTCATTAAAACTTTTCTGCCAAAAGAAATATCAAAAAAGAAATTTTTAGACAATCTAAAAAGTAAAGTGAAAAAAAAAATTAATGGACGGATGGATTATTTCTAGTTTCTACACCAAAGATAGATCATTACAGATAACGTGTGCCCGAACACACATTAAATAATTACGAGCATGTTTTATCTTTAGTGTACAATTGTTGGAGTAGCAAATATTTTTCATATTTCATTCATGAACCTCTCTTGTAAATGTTTTTGGTCATTAATGGCAGATATTTTCATTTTAGCTTAATGAGAAGGGAAATATTTGATTCACAAATACAATCATCACAAACTTCACAAATTTACTATTTGTGAACTTCTATAAAAAAATATTAAATAGTCTAAAATAATTTTAAAATGAAAATTGGATTATTAAAAAATGGAGTACCTAAGGTACCTTGTAAGATCTATAGGAAACCTAAGGTGAGAATTCTATTATTAATAATGGACCGTAAATATCATACTCCCTCCGTTTGGAAAAACACTTCCCATTTGATTTGTAGGTAAAAATAAGGAAGTGTTAAATTATAGTTGATTTCCAATTTTGCCCCTGATGTGATGGGTAAACGTAAGATGTGATGGATAGATTATTAGAGAAAAAGTATGATGTGATAGGTAGGGTATGAAAAAGTAAGGGTAAAAGTGGGTTTTTAATAGAAAGGGGAAGTGTTTTGTTGGAAGTGGAAAAAATGAAAGAGGGAGTGTTTTTGAGAACGGAGGGAATAATAAAAAAAGACCGTACCCTATCTCATGTTCAAATTGTAGTCACTCCACTCAATTGATCACAATACGTATCACAACCATTCGTGGAGCATTCACTTTAATTTATTTTTTTCTGTGTACTACTTATTTTTATTATAATCAAATCAAATGAGACCAGATTAGATCGGAAACACTTTAATTATAATGACAATCAGATCAAACCAGATTTGTAGAACAGAATGTAGCCTCAATTAATCACAAGGTGACTCAAGCACAATGAGTGAACAAATGAAAGTCTCTATACTTCCTAAAATGGAAATGATAGTGTAAGTTTCACCGGATATATATTAACAAAAATTGGCCGGGTCAACCACCATTGACTATTATGTAATACTGAGTATGAAGTTAAATCAAAACCAAAGTAAGCAAAACACTACAAGTATAACTTAGACTGGAGTAAATTAAATCTCCCGAGTCTGAATATATTTCTTACTCTTTGTCAAAAGTGAGCTCAGTATTGTGGGAATGGAATTAATATCTCTCTCCGCTCTTATAGAGTGGTGGAGGTATAGAAAGTGATTGGAAGTGTTCACTTATGCCAAACAAGGAGAGAACATCCATCACTCTACAATAAGAATATATTGATTGACTACAAATCTAGGATGTGATGGTGCCAAAAAATTTTCCTACATTGTTCTTCTGAATGACATGGGTGGGTGCCCAACTGCCCATGCAGAGTTCTATCGTTTGTTGCTGGCCTCGATCACTATTGATCGTTGATCCACCACCACCTTGTAACCATTCCAATATTGCTATGGCACTCCCACCCTTCATAATGCCAAACTCCTATTTCTAATGGATAAAACAATGACATTCATATTTTAGTATCGTCGTAATGACATTTTGCTTCTATCTAGAAACATTATATTACTTTCTTTTTCCTTAACAATATGTATACATATGCTTAGTATAATTGTGACTAGGGATGTAAACAAATCAAATATTTTAAATTCGATTCGTGATTTGTATTCGAATATGATGATTCGAATTCGCATTATTCAAATACAAATATAAATTTAAATATTATTATTTATTCGAATATTAAACAAATACAAATACAAATAGGGATATATTCGATTCGAATGATATTCGAATATATGTATATACACACAGACCATATTTTCAATATCAATACTCAAGCAAACTAGTATAGGATAAAGTGCATTTAAATTACTAAGAATTCGACATATTATAATTTGTGTAAGATGCAAATGTATTAATGTTTTTTGATAGAGAGTATAGTATAGTATAAGGAGTATTGTAAGTTAAATTACAAATCGATGTTGGTCCATCATATGAATTATAGAGTATGAATATTCAAATATTCACTTAGGATTCGTAAACTATTCGAATATTAATCAAATACATATTCAAATCTTATTTTGAATTCGTCTCATATTCGGATTCGTATTCGTATTCGAAAAATTATAAAATTAAACAAATACAAATTCAAATATCTTGTTATTCGCTTCGATTTGGTTCGTTTACACCCCTAATTGTGACCCCGCACATTTTCTTAGTACTCCATATAATATTTTTTTCAAAATTTACCAAGATTTATCCCCTTTGGCACCTCTTGCTCGACCAGCTGAGCTAGACCTAACGACGAATCTAACTTATTGTGTTTGAGAAGAGAGTAGCTAGGCAAATGCATGGTTGGCAAGTAAGACATCCAACTAAATCCAGCTAAAAAAGCTTGCTGTTGCCTGGCAATATAATTCAAGCAAAAATGCCGCTTTTTCATTTTGGAAATCAATTTAAGCACTGCATGTACACACAGGAGCACGTACAGATCACATCCCAAATAAGTTAAAAGACAAAAAGATGACAAAGAAAGGAGTTTGAGTTACGGAGTATTAATTATTAGCACATTTTACAAATGACTTGCATTCCTCCCTCTCATCTCATCATATTTCCTACATACTTTTCCACTTTCTCCCCAAATTGTTTTTTTTAATGCTTTTTCAAATTACTCCATATATAGTTTTCAAAAATAATAATTACTCCATACATAGATATTGATATAGTGCTCTCTACATATATATATATAAGAGGATCGTACACACTTGTACGATCGTTATATATTACAGAATAATAAGCTTTCACTTTGAGCAAATTAAATAAATATATTTATAACATAACAATGGACTCTTCCTTTTCTTCTTCTTCTTCTTCTCCTCAGCCGCCATCATTACTCGGCCTCATCATGATGAGAAACCCTCCTCGTCGCTCTGTGTTGTCGCTCGATTTGTCTCTGGCCTTCAAATCCACAGCGACGACAACCGAGCGGGCGTCGTCGGGGGGAGAAGGATTATCGGCATTTTCGAGCAGATTGTATGAGTGCAACTACTGCCACCGGAACTTCTACAGCTCACAGGCGCTCGGGGGCCACCAAAACGCTCATAAGAGGGAGCGCTTCCTCGCCAAACGAGCAATGAGTAGAGCAGCCGTTTTGCTCTCCTCCCTGCGCAGCAGGTCTAATAATAACAGTAATAGTAATGCCGCCGCCGCCTTCCGCCAAATGATGGTGAGGCGGCGGTGGCGGCCGAGGGCGGGGTTTGTGTTCGGTCCCGGGAATTGGAATAATCACTTGAAAAATGATGGTGCGAATTGTTCAGAAATGAGAACACCATTTGGGAGCAAGGGTGATGATGATGATGACGACGATGACGCCCACTATGTGCCGCCTGATCTCACACTCAGGCTTTAATCTAATTAACAAAGTTTATTTGCCAGTTTTAGTTTTTTATTACTCCATTTTATTTACTTACTCTTCAACAAGCTAAGGTTATTATTTGCATTATTGCATATAAGCTCCTCTGTAATCTCAAGAGATGGTTGTTTTTACGGAGGTTTCATCCACTTGAGCTGCTAACTTTGTTGTTCTTAATTCACGCATAACGTAATATAGTGCGGTTTTGATTTCATCTACCCGGTTTGAATTCAAAATCTTCATTGATTCAATTCACTTTGTATTAGCGTATTGTTTAGAGAAAAAAGTTACTCCCTCCGTCCCTAAGAACTTTTAATCTTTCTTTTTCTATTTGTCCCAAAAAAAATTTTCGTTTCTATAAAAAAAAGTCACTTTGACCTCCACTAATTTTTAACCTAACTATCATATCACATCTATTAACTATTAATCTACTCATCAAATCCTACTTTTACCATACACATCACATCCAAGGAAATTTTTAGAAAATCAACACCAAAATACAATCATCTTAACTTTCTTAAAAAGCAAAACCTCTCATTTTTCAGGGACGGAGGGAGTAGTAAATTAACGATTGCTAATATGCTACCGAATTAATGATTCACTGACTATTTTTTTGTTTGAATTTTAAAACTTTTATTGATTGTCTTATTCAATCCGTAGTGCATTATTGTTTTGAAAAAAAGAATATATAGTAAACCACTCATTCACTAAATAAGTTTTTTCTCAGTCGGGACTATAATTTAATTGGTCAGGGTTAAGAGTCCCTTTTTTGATCTCGTGCTAAGCCATAAAATTTTTAGGACAGGCTCTGTATACGACATACATTGTATATAATTGTTGGTCGTGTTTCTCGCTATAATTGATCTGACGTGCGACAATTATGGGCGAAGATTTAGTCATCAATCACTCACGATCTGTGGGATTGACCGCTCCCTCGCGCATGATTAGCCATTGCTTCCAAAATTTGAAAGGAACATATTTCATTCCAAAAAATTTTTTTGAAGGATCATTCCGAAAATATTACTCCGTATTCCATGAGATAATACAAATTTTTAAGAAGGAAATAGGGCAATGCTACTTTGTCAAGGCCAAATGGTTTAATGAAATAAAGCCTTTATGAAGTGAGGTCTGCCGATGAACAAGTTTGACTGAATGCATAAAATTCTTGTCATGAAAAATCCAAAAAAAAAATCTTGAGGCAAGCTGTATGCAGAATTTTCGACCAAACGACTTGCTAAAATTAACTTCTCAGTTTGATTTTTATAGTCAAACTTTTTAAACTTTGACCGTATATTACGAAAAAACACATTGAATTTTCTTATAAATTTGTTATCAATAGATTCATTTTGAAACATACTTTTTGAAATATATTGTTTTATAATACATATTTGTATAAAAACAGAGATATTAATAGTCAAAGTACGTGTTGCATTAGAAACCGTAAAAAGTCAAATATGAAGTGAATTTTAGGACGGATGGAGTATATAAATTATTTCTTTTTTCAAAAATAAAATGTACTATATTTGTAATCCATTACACTTCATCCGTCCCAAAATAATTTACTCTGTACATTATTATTATAATGGGTTTTCCACAATTTTTGTTTCTTTCCTTATTTTCATTTGGGACTCAAAGACCATTCAACTTGGGGGTTCAATATACAAAAAATTACTATTGGATGACGTAGGTTTTGTTGAAATAACTCATAGATCCTTGTATTTCCAAAAAAGATATTAGGGGACCTTATATTTTGTTGTAAAGACTAAGAGGAACATTCTATCTACTATTTTGCTAATGACCCTACAAAACATATTTTTCTTATTTTTCTCTTAATGATTTATGCTAATAAAGATCAGGTACTTCACTTTTTAATTTCCTTTTTCTTTATTTTTATTTTTCACTTTTTTTTCAATTCCTTATGTAAGTGTTTTTTACAAAAATTTGGAATTGTTTGTTTGATATAAAAAATAAATGCAACTAAAATGACTATAGTAAAACATAATAAAAAATATATTTTTAACAGTCATTAACGGAATTGTAGACGAAATGTCCCCGTCTTTACAAAAAAATACTACGTATAAGAGTAATTGATATCATTTTAAAAATGCATGGACTTGCACGTAATTTCAACAAAACTTGACAATTTTTTTTTGGTTCAATATGTAAGCCTTGACCGTGGGGTTTTCAAGCTCAAATATTTAGACATAGACTTCAATAATGCGTACGACGAAGTAAACTCTTGAGCACTTCGGTGGGCCATATATAAAACAGAGACATGGTGGACTCAGCCGTGAGGCGGTGGTTCACGGCGGCGGTATTGATTGCATCACTGTCGGAGCCGGCGGTTAGCGGCCCACAAACCAACCAGCTAAACAAGGGGTGCAGCCAGTACAATGCTACCGACACCACAGATTTCTCCCGGAGACTCAACTACAGCTTTGCAGATCTGAGAAACCAGCTATTATTGTCCCACCGGCAAAACAACAACAGCAAACACTTCGCCACCACTGGGCCGCCTGTCTATGCCATGGTCCAGTGCAGAAACTACCTCTCCGCCGCTGACTGCGTTGCCTGCTATGACACGGCAGTGGTGGCCATCCGAAGTTGTTCCTCCGCCAACGGTGGCCGTGTCATATTTGACGGCTGCTTCCTCAGGTGATTTATGTTAACATAATTTGGGTGCCAAATAATTTTAGAATATTGATATAAAAATAATTTTATTAGATTTGTGTTCTTTAATACTAAGTACGGAGTTTTTTTTTTTAATTATTACGTCATGTAATTAATATATCATATAATATTTATTTATTTACTCCGTATATACCAAATGTTGATCCTATTTAATTATAAAAAATTAAAACAAGAAACAAGCTTGAATATGAACTTAATGAAGAAGCAGCTAATGTTACTTGTTTGGTCAATTTGGATAACTACTCAAATTAAAGAATTCTTTTTTCGAACACTTATATTGGCCGTAATCAAACACATTTAAATTTAATAAAATTAATTTTGTATCAATATCTAATAGAAATACGGAGTATTATTCAATGAATGATTAACATTTGTCAATTTTACCTGTAAAAAGTCAAAATATAAAAATGTGAATTGCTCCTTTAATAGACTATTGGTTTTGGTTTCGGATTGAAACTCACAGTTCTACAAATGTAAATATAATTAAATGGATCATAAATGAACTAATGCATTATAGGTCCCTGGAAACATAATGTTCAGTTTGTGTTATATTTAGGTACGAGAGCAATAACTTCTATGATCAGACTACCCTACCAGGAAACCTTGCAATTTGCAGCAACAGAACTGCCCTTCAAAGAGTTCCCTTCAATGCAACAGTAGAACAACTGCTGAATGAACTTCAGACTGCAACACCCAAAATTGATGGGTTTTTCGCTGCAACAAAGCGGGTGGTCTCTGGCGGGAGCAGTGGTGGTGCAGCCGCCTATGCGGTGGCCCAATGTGCGGAAACCATCAGCAAAAGCGGCTGTCAAGATTGCTTGGCGGTGGCTCACAAGAACATACAAGGGTGTTTGAGTAAATCTGCAGAAGGCAGAGCGGTTGATGCCGCTTGTTTCTTGAGATATTCAGACACCCCTTTTTTCGCTGAAGATCATATGACTAACCTTGAACCCTTCCTAGGAATAGGTGTTTTAACTTTTAATACCTAATTTTAATGTTATAATGTGGTTTCAATGTATGGTGGAATGTGGGAAGATTACCTAGCTTGTAACTATTAGAAATATAGAATCAATTCACAGATGAAAATGTTCATCTTCTTGAATACATCTCTAATGATGTCTATATATATTACAAAGTTAATAATGAAGACAATCAAGGAAAGTGAGTGGAAGTTAATCAAATATCCTGATTGGTAATTTGATTCCAATCAAGGACATTATCAAGATATTACACTATTCCCTTTTTGTTTGATATTTCTAACA